GTGTCAGAGTGTCTGGAACGATATGGATCAAGGGGCAGCTCCTGAGGATTGCTTCACAATCATGAACATGGATGGAGACCGTATTGGTAACTGTGGTTTCAAATCGTCCAATTCCACCCCAGGAACCTATGCAGCCTGTGCGGCTGGAGATTCCCTATGTGGTAGTTTGTTCTGCCTTCCAGTTGCTCGAAAGATTCAACCCAGTAGTGACGTTCTGGCCGAAACCATTCGCGTACCCGATGTTGGCAAGTGCAATGGTTTGTACGCGTCCCCGCCAAGAAGCCACGATGACCCATCGCTCGTGAAGGATGGAACACGCTGTGATGCCAGCGGCGCTAACAAAGACCTCGTGTGCCACAAGCAACGCTGCGTGGACAAGTCTCGAGTCACCAGCCAGTGTTCGGTCGATGCTGACAGCGGCAAAGAGTGTGGTGAAGTCGGTGTCTGTACAAGTGCAACGACCTGCCTTTACCCACCCACACCTGGTAAGTTTTTTTTGTTTTTGTTTTTCACTGAATACCACAGAACCATCAGATGCTGCACAGCGGGGCGGTGGCATATTGGATGGAAGTGGGAGCGGGGCAAAAGTAACTCCTCCGACCAAAGGTCTCGGAATCATCGTTACTAACTTACCAACCTAGTGGGCGTTTTCAATTCATTTTTAGTTTCTGTACGTCCAGTTGTCATATGGATGCGATGTGCTACAGATCTTGGCTCTCCAACTATTGCTGCTAAATGCCATCCACAAGCAACAAAATAGCCGTCCCGCCTTTTTGAGAGCTGCCTTACTGCGTGTGAGCAAAACTCTGTATCCTCCAACCAAAATTTTCATCGGCTCACGCACTCAACGTAGAATGGTCATTCAAAGTCCTCAGATTCCTGAGGCTCAAGCTATTCTGACCTCTACTTTGCATGAGCCATGCAACCATGACCTACAGGGAACGTCCCCTTTCTTGGGCATGCTGTTCACAGACGTGCTCGCCTCGCATGCAATTTGTAAAAAAAATGGTCGTATCTGCGATTCGCTCTTTGGCGCTATTACCGTCGATATCGGAACAATCCCGGCCAAAAGCCATATGGTTGGTAGGTATCCTGACCACTCAGCTATGGATACGGTCACGTGTGCATATATGGATACGGTTAAGTGTGCATACACGGAATTCGCGAAACAACTTCGTAGCACATCCTGTGGTGCTGCGCTGTAGGACTGTTTGCCAGGATGGTTCATGTGCAGTGCGAGCACAGAAAAACCGGAAGTTGTGTGCGGATTGGATCGCGTTTTCCAGTTTGAATTTTCTTCACATCGCGGATGTTCGAGCTGGGGAGGTAGAAGAACAGAGGTTCGGATATTCAGGGGTTTTCAGTTTGACTATTCAGGGGTTTTCAGCCCTAACGCAAACCCAGATTTTGCAATTTCACGAGAGTTTTAAAAACTCAATACAGCTCCTGAAAAGAGTTTTTTGAGTAATAATGATAAGGTGGCGAAGACAAAACCTAATACCCGGAGAAATGGTGGTAGCTACTAGACACTAGCAAGAGTAGATAAACAAGAGTGTGCAACTCCGGATCTATCCTGCACAATCTGCAGATACCCCGCCGGAATTTTTTGCTGACGTCACCTTTTTTCAGAGACATGCGCATTTTGCCGCAGAGCAATGTGAGAGCACGTGCTGGGCACCGACCTTGTAGTGGAAGTCCGGCCATGAGCACGAGGGAAAACTTTCCGAAAGACTCGCAGCGCGTGCGTCGTCGAAAAGATTACGTCAACAAAATATTCCGCTGTGGGCCTACCCATCCGCGAGTTGCACTCTCTTGTTTATCTACTCTTGTTACTAGATACACGATGCACACAGACATCTACGAGTATATAGAGGTGTGTTTAAGGTGGCAAGCGGGCCAAGCTCGGCCGGGGACAACCTTCTGGCTGACTGCATGATAGGCAGGAGCACCGGTGACCTCAGAGGTGAGGAAATTCCTCTTTTTCGGGCCATCTGTACCGTAACTTGTAAGTGTTCTCCTCTCAAATATTACCCTGAGCACTATGAGTTCAGGAGAGCAATATGGAACAAAATAAGTGAAGATCTAAAGTCAAAATGTTGGTGGGTTTCCATAGTAATTTTTGAAATCAGATTTTGCGAAGCGGGGATGGTATGCTGTTGTCTGCTTTGCTGAGATGCTTGTGTGTGTCCTCTCTGTTTCTCCGCAACAGAGATCAACGAGTCGAGTACAGGATCCGCTAACACTACCCAGGCTGCTACACCCACGACCAGTGGAATAACCAAACCAACGAGCGACCCAGCCACAACCACTCCAACCGAAGTCGGTGATGAACAGTGGAGTGGTTTATAATTGTAACTAGATACTCATAAACCGGAGGGAATACTACCGACAGGACTAACCTGGTGCCCTTCCACTTACCCACCCATCTTCCATGGCATCCACAATTCGGTCCAGGAAACTCGACAGAGCGTTTCCAGGACGTGAGGAGCCTGGCTAACCAAGTGTGTTTCCAGTCCTGATAATTTCCTCCCATTGTAAATTTCAAATCTGCAATTTCAGATCAGTGAAAATCTGAGGCAGACTGATATCCCATAACCCGCTACGGCTGAGTAATTATGTCGTATTTTAATTAGTAATTATGCATCTATTATTTGCAAGATGATGAGGGCAATAATAGATTGATCCCGACATAGCATACCTTAACTGGTTTAGCTTTGTTGTTGTGTATTGTACTAGCACATAGTATATACATAAGTCGTCTACATTACTTCTCTATAAACAGATGTTTTCAGTTGTTACGTTTAATGTGTTCCCCAAGTTCTTTGACTGAGAATCTGGCAGTTTGCGTTCAAGTCGTTTGGCTTCAGATTTTTCTTCTTTCATTTCTAACTCTTGTTTCAAGTTGAGGAAAAAGTTCTAAATCCTTGGACTTAAGCTGTGTTCACAACTGGTGTGTGCGCGCGTGAAACCACGCGTTTGCGCGTATTTTTGCTGGCTTTTGGTGCGCCATGCGTACGTAAACGCGCCCAAATGGAAATTCCAGCATGTTGGAATTTGCAGCGCGTATCAGGTGCGTACCAGCCTGCATGCCATTCACTTTGATTGGCGGGGTCAACAAATTAGTACTCGAAGGTGTCGCACCCGCTAAATACGACACAGATTGCTGTTTTTAACAAAGCTTAGCAAAAGTACATAGCCCCCCAGAGTGTGCAACGCCTAATCCAGCTCTGCATAGGGTCTTGGTCGAGCGTAATCGGATCTTTGTGTCACAAGACCGTACACATCTGAGGGGGGCCCAGGGAGCCTTCGGGGCTCGCGGATAAAAAACAACCCTATATGTACCCTGCTACGAGACCGGCCTTGCTGTTTGAGCCGGTGTGGAGCGTACTCTACGCATGACATCAGAAGATCAGGCTTTGCACTAGTGCTGACCCGAATTTGCTAGCAATTCTTCTAGCAAAATATCGAAGAATTTTGAAAGGGAATTTGCTGGCAAAATGGAGCAAAATATCGGTGTGTTCGCTGGGAATTGGGAGATTTTACACATATACGGTGCACATGACTCATTTCGGCACAATTTTACCAACACGTGACTCACTTTTTCTCATTTTTGCCAACACGTAACCCACTTTCGGTCAGTTTTCTCACACGTGACACAAATTTTGGAGCAAAAAGGGAGCAAAATATCGAGTGGCCTAGCAAAATGAAAGCAAAATTTCGACGATGCACGAGCAAAATTATGCCGCAAAATATCGAGATTCAGCTGGCAAATTCGGGTCAGCACTACTTTGCACACTGTGCGGTACTACTTCTAGCAAGAGTACATAACCCCCCAGAGTGTGCAACGCCTGGGTCTTGGTCGAGCGGAATCGGATCTTTGCGTCATAATACCGTACACATCTGAGGGGAACCCGGGGAGTCGCGGGTGCTCTTGGATCAAAAACAATGGTACCCTGCCTCGAGACCGGCCTTGCGCTGGTGTGGAGTGTACGCATGACATCAGAAGATCCGATTCCGCTCGACCAAGACCCTATGCAGAGCTGGATCGGCGTTGCACACTCTGGGGGGTTATGTACTCTTGCTTATACTTTTTTAGTGCATGGCAGGGAGGGCCTTATTGGTTAGTGCATGGCAGGGGCTAGGGAGGGCCTTATGGCTTGTTAGTGCCCGACAGGTTAGCCTGAGGGCCGTAGGCCCGAGGGCTAACCTGAAGGGCACAAACAAGCCATAAGACCCTCCCTGCCATGCACTAACTATTTTAGAACGAGGTTACATGCATTATCTCACTTCCATTATGCTTGTGTACCACTATATTGGGTAGTTTTGTGGTTTGTGTGCAGAGAGACTTGGTGTGGTATGAAAGATTATTTTCTTCTGGTAAGTTAAAGTGGTGCTGAGTTACCAAAGTAGAATGGAAGCAAATGAAATGCTGGGCTCTTATTGCGAGCTTCATTCTTATTCATATACATGTATGTAGCTTGTGGAGCTAATTAGGGGCTTTGAGAGCCCCTTGTCGATAACTCTAATGACTTTGATCCTCGCTTTTTATAGGTTTCCGCAAGCTGTTGACAAAGAAAATTCGTACAGATGAAAGAATACGGGAGGCAAAAACCGTACACACTTCTGAATTGCGTAGCTTTTAGTAGTACACCGTACACGTTATGCAGAGTTCATTATCTGCACCGTTTTTTTTTTTTCTTTTTTTCACGGAAAACTGAGCCTCTTGTACGGGCAAAATAACACTTTTTGTGAAGAATCAACACACAAAAAAACGAATCATCAGATACAGTATTTACAGAGTCTGTCACTCAGTAGGATCACTGCACTGTGCAGGTTCACTGGATGCGTGCCTCCGCCGCCACTAGCACAGCAGGGGACTCAGGCATTATCTGCACCGTACTATTATGCATACAGGGAGTTGTACGCACCAGTTTAGAGTATCTTCAGCGGGCTTTAAACTATTCCAAGGCCCTCGACGCGTCATCAAGAGTAGTAAAATAACGATTGAGCGGGCTTTAAACTCTGATAAGGCCCTTGGCGGGAATGTCGCTGATTGGTCGTTTCCTGGACAACGAGACAGACCTCGTTCTAAGGCTTGTTAGTGCCCGACAGGTTAGCCTGAGGGCCGTAGCCCCGAGGGCTACCCTGAAGGGCACAAACAAGCCATAAGACCCTCCCTGTCGAGGGCCTTGGATTAGTTTAAAGCCCGCTGAATATACTCTAAACTGGTGCGTACAATTCCCTGTATGAATTATAGTACTGTGCAGAAAATGAACTCTGCATAAAATGTACGGTGTACTACTAAAAGCTACGCATTTCAGAAGTGTGTACGGTTTTTGCCTCCCGTATTCTTTCATCTAAACGAATTTTTTTTGTCACACGGAAAACTGAGCCTCTTGTACGGGCAAAATAACACATTTTGTGAAGAATCAACACATATATAAAAACGAATCATCATTATACAGTATTTACAGAGTCTGTCACTCAGTAGGATCACTGCACTGTGCAGGTTCACTGGATGCGTGCCTCCGCCGCCACTAGCACAGCAGGGGACTCAGGCATGGCAGGAGCAAACATGCTCCTTGAGCCACGCAGGCACATAGCACCACAACGCACCAGGGCAAACCCAAGGCGGCAGCGCAGCAAGGAGATAACCTGCCCGTATGACTCCTTACTCTTCTCAGCCAGGAGAGAGGCGATCCGCGTGAAAAGAGCATTGGCATGCTTGCCATAGCCACCAGAGGCAGAGAGCACAACGGGCACGAAGGAGGCATGCTCAACTTCACGTACTCGCTCCTCGTACTTCCGGCGCTTTTCCTGTTCATGGCGTCTGTAGCTAGCAGCGAGGGAGGTGGCACGATTCGAAGACGCAAAAGGGTTGAACACCCGTACATCAATAAAGATGCGCTCGAATCGGCCTGTAGTGGAATGATGGCAAAGCCCCTGTGACCCAACCCAAGCGGCCACACCACCAAGACGTTTTATGCTATTGGGTATCATTCATGGCTAGACCTAACACTGTATGCACGTGACATGTCGCCAAGTTATTGTTCTAACCAGAGGAGTAATTGTCACCTTCAGCAGCATGGATCTAAGAGTAAGACTAAGACTGTATTCATCATCACACCTCCACCAGGTGACAAGTCTCTTTACGAGCAAGGACCGGAATACACTCGAAACGCTGTGAAAGGAAAAACTTATAGCATTTAGGATACAACCTAGAATAATAGAACCACAGAACAAATGAACTACTGCACACCATCAGCTCCACACTCACGGAGCATACCTCCTTGGGGCTCTCAATGTATCTCGATTCCGGAGGCTTCGTCCAACTGGCTGATCATCTTCAGCAATCGGCAGGTCAAAGGCAATGGGCAGTTCGCCATTGCTGCTAGAACTGGCCTCCACCTGGTCGACTTCCGTTGACTCTGACTCAGCCTCGCCTGGATCCATCTTCAACAGATCAACATTCACGATCTTCGTGCCACCGCGACCGTGCGCAACGACGACCGTTGAGGATGCCACCACTGCCTCGACCACCCAACCACGCTCGTAGGGAGGCTGGCGCTTCTGCCGTCGGTCCTGGCGTCGCAACAGTACTGGATCTCCGGGCTGATAGGGACAGGCGACACGAGATCTCGATTCATCGATGGAGTCAGCTTGCGATAACTGGCCGTCTAAATAATCCCACACCCGGGCCGTCTGCATCTTCAGCTTGTCCACCCAAGCGCTCTCAGATAGCTCGCTGCCGGACTTCTCCACCACCAGGCGCTTCGGCTTCCAGCCATACATCGCCTCGGCCGGGCTGATTCGAGTGACACTATGCGGGCGTACACGGTACTTGAATAGCAGCAGATCAAGAGCCGCTTTCCAATCATCCTCTTCCTCCAACACCTTCCGAATCAAAGTGAGGAGCGTAGGATTGAACCTCTCTACCGTGCCTTGACTCTGCGGGTGACGAACTGCACCATGCTGCACTCGAACTCCAAACGCCGCAAACAAAGCCGACATGATAGCGTTGACAAACTCGGTGCCGTTGTCGCAGCGCACAATCTCTGGTGGGCCCCACCGGGCACAGATGGACAGAAAGGCATCAGCAACACTTCGTGCATCGTGCCGGGGCAACGGAACGACTTCAGTCCATTTGGTAAATGCGTCCACACACACCAGGACGCAGTGGAACCTGCCATCACGACTGCCGCCGAGCTCCATGGTGTCGATGAACACGGTGTTCCACGGACCAGATGGCATGGCAGACCTCGTAGCTGGAACACTCTCGCCACGCTGCGGACTGGCAACAGCACAGGCCTGACACTTGCCAACAAAGTCCTGGCTCTTTGCTGCCATTGAGGGAAAGAAGCACCGGCATTGCAGAAACCGCCAGGTTCCCTCCCAACCGGCGTGTCCAGTCTGAAGATGGGCTGCGCGCAACACTCTCTCCTCCAGAGACTCTGGGACTACTGGAACGACTTCTTCTTCACCAGTCGGCACCTTGAAGCTCCTCATCAGGACACCGTCGGCAACACAGAGTTGATTCTGGATCTTCTTGTAGCCAGCAGCGACAACTTCCTGTTCAGCTGTCTTCGCTGCAATCACCGCTGTGATGGCCGCATCACTTTCCTGTTCGCTGGCTATCTCTTGGAGCGACACAGGGCCAAGAGCAGATGGATCGATGCAGGCACCAGACACGCCGACGTCAAACTCGCCGACGCCTGACTGACCTTTCCAGTACTGGACGAGCTTCTCAGGAACTCTAGTCAGCTCGTCTGCCTTGTTGCTGGCAGATGGAACCCACTCCAGATCAACGCTGAGGTCAGCCGCTTTGATCAAGTCATCGATGATTTGGAGTCGCCGGTGAACCACCACCTTGTTCAGCCCACTGACTTTGATTCGCTTCAAGTGGCCGAAAAGCGAGCTCAGCCAGCCATA